GGGGGGTCACAGATCTCCCCATAGTGTCTGAGCTGGCAGAGTGCAGGTGCGGCCTTGAAGCCTCAGTAGTTAGAAAAACATTCCAGTGTCTTATCAGCCTAGCAGAACACACTGTTGCTAGTTACAAGAAAGCTTACTGAAGGAAAAAAAAATCAGTAAAAAGAAAAATTGGCTTCATCCTGGCTCAAACCAGGACACTTTGGCAAAGATATTTAGGAATTCTTCTGAGCATTACAGAAATGTTTTCACTAGGTCTAAGCTTTGGATGATTTGTTTTTGGAGTTTGCTTACACTGGCTGTAGCCTTTCTAGCAGTCAGCACTTCACCCCACCACAAACCACATTATCATTGAAGATGGGTTGTTATCATTGAGAGTTTAAAAAGAAAAAAACCATCCTTTTTTAACAGTATCAGAGTTTAAATTGTCTGAAGTTGTGAGAGTAACCACTGGAAATATTAAGAGTTGCATCTTATTTTTATATTTTATGTATCTTGTCAGGAAGCTTGTTTGTTCCTATTAATGTTACAGTACTTCAGTTATAAAGTTTACAATTTTACAAAATGTAAACTTACAATTGTATATTTATGAAATAAATATAAAAATGGTGGGAGGAGGTATAATTTGCACTGCCTATGACTTTTCAATTGGATTTCTTTGGTTGCTTATAGATTCATTGTTTTGAGACAAGCAAGGTCTTTCCTTTGATCCAAGGAGTAATTTACAAAATCCACTGTGCAATTTATGCCACCAGCAACCAAAAGATTTCGTGCTTATTGCTGTGAACATGTAGAGATATCTCACATACAGCCAAATCCAAAGGCTTTGTTAGTTTTGGGGGATTTTCTTTGTTTTACTTTTTGGGTTAGACATCTAAGGTGAAATTTTAGGGTAAGTTTGGATTTTGGTTTAAATTTTTCTTAAAATTTAAGAGTGAATTTCACTGGGACTAGCACGTACATTAACTGATTTTTAATTTTTTTTTCATAATTTGAAGGTAGATCTGTTTTCAATTTGTTTTGGGGAAAGTAGGCATCAACAAATATTGATGTTATTTCTCAGTCTGATCTTCAGATTATGGTTTGCCTTTTTTGAAGACATTGATAAATGTTTGGGGTGTGGGAAGGTCTACGTTTTTTTCCTATTTGTATTAGTCTATCAACCAAAATGTATTGCCTCTGTAAGTGAAGTACAGTACATGTAGTCAAACACATCTTTAAAAAAAATCCAGCATAGTCATGTGTACAGACTTTGTCAGAATTTTTAAACTAACCTTGCAATTGTTGAACTAAATATGACCAGGGAAATTAAACTCATTATATAATAAAATACTAAGGGATAACACTGTTGAAATTAAATAGCTGATAATCAATGGAGAGGTTTTTTTTAATTGCTGATTTGGCCCTAGCACAGAAACGTTACTCTACTTACTGTGAGGCGTTGTTCGATGTCACCGGGTAATGAAGGAACTGTTGCTCACCTTCCTTGAATTACCCCAAAAGCAAATCTTTCCTCTGCCAGTGTAATAGGTATTGCCTAATTATCTAATAGGAATGGCTAGCAATTAGTGCAGGCCTGCTGATTATTTGCAGTATCCATGAGGAGTTTTCTTAATTAAAGCTGTTTCAAATAAAGTGAGGCCAAACTGTCACTAAGGGAAGGATTTAATGTCTTTCATTAGTGTACTGCGGGGTCCATGGATACTTTAAAGCATATTTCCATTGCCACTCGTGTGTTGTGGTTTACCTTTTAAAAATAAACTAACATACAAAGCATGTAACTTTGCAAAGGGCTTTCTGCTGGCTTATGTACTTCATTCATTGACAGTCTTTTCCTTGAAATTTTTCCTTTGGTGGCAGTTCCTAACCTATTTGCAAAACACTGCTTTGTTCACTTTGAAGAGTTTCTCTTGGTTTATAAAACGGGATGGTAGGGAAATCCTTGTATAGTTAGATATATTTGCTGTGTGTGTCATCCACCTGTACCACTTTTTTCTATCTTCCTCTGCAATTATATGAATGGCTTTATTCTGGTGAGAAATAGAACAGATTTTTCTTGCTTGATCCAACTACATTTCATCTGTACTAAAATAGAAATTCTGCTTTTCTTCCCCCTCCCTTGCCTCTCCCTGCTTTTAAAATTTTGCCTCAGTTCCTACCACAGCTGCTAGCACTCCTGATGCTGTTGACAAATATTTGGAGGCACCTGGAGATGAGAATGAACATGCCCATTTCCAGAAAGCCAAGGAAAGGCTTGAAGCTAAGCACCGTGAAAGGATGTCTCAGGTAAGGGGAGATTTCTTTATTTCTAAATGTGAGAGTTTTGTCTGTCAAGTCATAAGATGCTTGGGATCCCTCATTTTTTTATTTTTGAAGGCTTCAGCCAGCTTCCCTGCCTCTGTGCAATGCTGTAAATACACCATTTACCACCTTACTCTAAGAATTCAGCTGGCTGGGGCATACATTTGTGGTTGGGTCACAGCTGACACCAGAAGTCACTGGTTACTTGTGCTGTTAAAAATGAAAAAAAGTCTGTTAAAAATTGCTCATATATTTTTGGAAGCATGTTTGATTTGTGAGATTATTCTTCTTTCCAAGCAAGGAACTTGATGACTGTATTAGCTGTCCTTCCTTTGCAGCAGCTGAAGGAAATTGTTTGTGATCAGCTTCATTCTCTGTATGTAGCATACATGGCCATGCCCTGGAGTAACAAAAGATCACATATGTTCATTGAATGGTCTTGAGCCCCAATGTAACATGAAATGCATCTAAAGCCAAAGAAAAAAATTTTAAAAAGTGTTTTTTAACTGAGTCAAAATCCAAGCTTTTCTTTAGCTAAAAAGATTTGCATAGCCTGAAATTGTACAGTTTTAATCCTATTGAACAGTAAGAGATGAGCTATCCACTCTCTCAGAAATATGGTTTATAATAGCAATGCAAATAAAATATTGTCATGGTTCTGCTCTAATAACAACAAAGAAAAATGTAAGAGGATTAAGGAAAAGCCTATGGTGCATATTTTTGGGGATGGAACAGCCACAAAAATGAATGCGGTATAATTCAAATGCACTGCATGTATCTGGGTAGCTATTCTACTATAACTTTTAATCATAACTTTGTTCCCCTATTGCACTTTCAGAGTTTCTGTGTATTACTGACACATTAACCTTTAGCTCTGTGCTAAAACGATTGAGTAGGCCTGAAATTAAGCTCTTAGAATAAGCCTCTGTGTTGTGTTTGGCACTTTTCTAAGAAATAGGGCAAGGCATCTTACCTGAAGCAGTCATCTGATCAGTGCAAGCCACATGCCAAGAATGACACTTGATAGAAGGATATGTGTTCCTCGTCTGCCTCCACTTGGGAAGCGTTGTGGCACAAACAAGCTGTCCCCTCATTAAACAGAGAAGATAGTGCCAGTTTAATGCATTTTAAAGTGTTGCCATTGCCTTTCCTCTGGAAGATTAACAACTTCATCAAAAAGACCAATGGCCGAGGTGGGAACGTTGCTGAGGGGGTGTGTGTGTGGCGTCTGGCTTGGAGCCAGCCCCATGCCGTGGAGTGAGTTGGGAAGGAGGTGACCTTGGTGAACTCACAAAGTAGCTGTGAGCTCTGCTCCCGCTGAGGGAGCAACTCCTCATCCCAGTCCTCTTCTAACAAACTTTGGTGTGCCTGTAGCACTCATCTTGGGAAGGACACGCTGAGGATCAAGCAGATAAAAAAATAGTGCGTACAGCCTGCCATGGGGAGGAGAGAGATCCTGCCCCAGATAGGCACACAGAGACTTGGCAGGTAATGCAGTTGTCACCCAGTTATTGCCTCCCCTTCAAATAGCCTTTTTTTGAAAAACACTGTACTGGCAGATGTCCTGAAAACAAAGAACAGGAGTGTGAATGTTAAGTTTACCTGGAACAGCCCTCAGATTCTCACTGTTGCTTCAGGTTTGTCTCCAAAATCGTAATATGTAAAGGTTAAGCTGGGTAATTAAGGACAGTACTTGGGTAAACTGTATATTTTCTGTTTTCTAAAAAGCTAATGATTTGTGAAAAAGAGCTAATCAAATGTACAAGCACCCAGAAAACGTAATTGCTTGAGGCTAACAAAATTAACTAGGAAAAGCACTGAACCACAGCATCAGGAAACTTCTGGGTACACGCACTGCACATTTTACCATGCACATTTGGGGCAACTCATAAATTAAGGCTGTAGTTCAAGGGTTTGACAGAAGATCATGCTGGTGGTGTGTGTTGGCGGCCCTTGTTAGCACATTCCCAGCCATCCTTTCTGTCAGCACTAATGAGCATACAGCTGCAGGGTGAGGCAGGTCAGCTCCCTCATCTCACTGCTAGGTCACTCTTCCAAAAAAAACCAGTGAAATAACCAACTCTGAGCAGCTCAGCAAGCTAAATCAGAACTGGGAAACAGCAGCACGACAGTACATCAAGAAGGAAAGATCTTTCATCTTTAAATTGCTTAAAGCTGCTTATGAAATCTCAGCTTAAAGTACGCATGTCTTGAAGTACAGAGAACCCCTGCAGAGCTTTAAAGAAGAGAGTTAACTTAAGTTTTTAAAAATTCTTTTCCTCTCTCTGAGTAATATCTTGTACAGCATTGAGCCTTCGTCTCTGAGCTAACTTCTCAAAAGTTTATCCATTACAAAAATCTTCAGGAAAGGTTGAAAAGCCAGCTAGTTTACCATTCTGCGTTTCCTCACATGAATTGTGATTATGCCTGTGTCCCATATTGCTGGTCTACTTTTCTCACAGATTATTTTGAAGTTGCTTTCTACATTTTTTTGAAAATTGGGAATCGTTTTCATATGTATTTAACTAAAAAAATAAATCAAATGTTGGAAACAATGGTAAAATAAATTAACTTAGTAAGCTCTTGTTATCATTGTTTTTCTCTTAAAAAAAAAAAAGTGAGTGAGTGACAGTCCAGCAGCACCAAACATATTTATTCACTTTTATTTACTCAAACAGGAACTCCAGTTCTTTCAAAGCTAAGAAATGGGGGCTTATATAGGAACAGAAATTCCCATCTTTCCTCTATTAAAAAGAGAGGAAATTATCAGTGATTTTGGAACATGATTAAATCATTCTTTAATCTTGATAAATACGGTTATCTGAAATAAATCAGCTTGTTCACTAAATACGGATATTTCTTTAATAAAGCAGATAGCTGTAAACCAGTACTTGATTGGATGCACACTTTGCAGCAGCCAATTAACTAATAAAGTAATGCATTTAATTTGACACATAAAACATAATCACCTAAGGGGTAGGGAAGTTCATCATTAAAAAAATTAAATTTAAATTAAGTAATCTAATCAAAATATGCCGTAAGGGCAAATGCAGGTGTACTGTATGACCTCTTTGAGATTTCCCTTTGTTTACAATGGAATTCTGACAACTTGTGTTTATGTTTATCTTGCATAAAGATGCTCACATTGCCAGAGACCCAGCTTCTATTGGTGGTTGAGTCAGTTCATAGCTCCCAAAACACTCTCTTCCTAGGGGAGTCTGTGCTCTTTTTGTATGATGCCCTAATGCACCTCTGATTCAGACTGTTTTAATCTTCTGCTCTTATGTGTCCAAAGAAAGGACCATGCTTTTACTTCTCTAGAACAGAGAATAGAGAAAGCAGCCTTCAAGACTTATTTTTTTTTTTTCCTTTTTTTTTTTTACATAGGGTCTAAACACTCCATGCAGATTTTGGGAGGTTTTCCCCCAAAATATATACATAGGACCTTTTCCAAGGGCTATTGAAAGGCCTTTAAAAGCTTCTTATTTTAATGATTTTACAGTGGAACCTAAAGAAAAGCAGTGCTGTAAGAAGAGCAAATATATGATTTGACTGAATAGAGAATTTCTAAAATAAAGAAAATACAGGAAAAAATAGAGATAGGTAAAGTGTTCTGGAGTAGAAGAACCAGAACAAGTTTCAATGTGGACTAAACTTGGAAGAATCTTTGAGTCAAAGAGAAGGCTAGACTGAGAAAACTGAGAACTGAAAGGATTGGAAAAGATAATATTATAACTCATGATTTCTTATCCATAGGTAAATCTGTAATGTTTAGAATAACCTCTTTTTGAAGACATACATAATAAAAACAAATGTGGTGGTAGAGAAACAGTTTTGAATTCCTGCAGATTTGCTGAGCTGTGAATTCAGAAAAGGTAAACCTCTGAAAGAGGGAATTTAAAAGCATTTTAAAATGCAACATTTAGATAAAACAAATAAACAAATAAATAAGTGGTTATAATAGAAAAATAAAAATAAAACAAAATATGGGATAATCTGAAATATTCTCTTCCATTTTTTTAAATTTGAACAACAGAAGCTGTTACCTGTCCTACCTTACTCCTAAACACTGAAACCCAGAAAGAAAAAACAAGGGACAAAAAAACCAAACCATTTTACACTCCTACAAAATTACACATATTTATATTTCAAAGAATCATTGCATTCTAATTATTCACAGTACTGCTATGACTTTTCACTCTACTTTGAATTTCTTCCCCTTAATAGCAAGTCTCCTTGCTTTCTCTTTTAATGTAGCAATACTACAGAATCTAAAAGAAGAAAGGTAAAGAAAGAGAGAAAGAAGGATAGACTGAGAGTGAAAAGCCTGACAACTGTGTAACAAACAAGAACATAGTAGAAAAAAAATGTATTGTACTGAAGCTGAAAATTCTTTTTGAAAAATGTCAGAAGACCAGGTAGATTATTAAGCAATACAGTAAGATAATTATTTGTTTGCCTTGTTTGTACAATATTAACTACCTAATTTGTAAGGCATGGTGATAGAATTTAAATGCTAATAAAATCTTAACTGAGCTGATGTAATCACAACAAAACAGATTTTATATGAGTACATATCCTGTGTGGAAGGAACAAAATACCCAGCAGGACCAGAACCCTGGACTTCCACAGGGCAAACTTTGGTCTCCTCAATCATCTATTAAGGGAAATCCCATGGGACAGGGTGCTAGAAAATAAAGGAGCTCAAGATAGCTGGTCAACATTCAAGGACCACTTCTTGCAAGCACAGGATCAGAGTGTCCCAATGGTTAGGAAATCTAGTAAGGGTGCTAGGAGACCTGCATGGTTAAAGAAGGAACTACTGGGCAAACTTAAGTGGAAAAGGAAAATCTATAGATCATGGAAGGAGGGGCTGGTCACTTGGGAGGAATATAGGACTGTTGTCAGAGGATGTAGGGAGGCAATTAGGAAAGCTAAGGCCTCCTTGGAACTTAACCTTGCAAGTCAGGTTAAGGATAATAGAA